GAGAAATGAAATCAAAGACTTTATATGGTTCCACTGTATTTCGTGTGAAAAAACATTAAAAACAACTAATTAAAATGTAAAAAAAGAAACCGTCCAGATGACCTGACTGAACATTGTTGGATTCATACCTGGATTAATGAGCATGAACTTTGGTCTAATTAAAATGGTTTGTATTACAGTAGTTATCCAAACATGTCAAAGAATGTTTGAGCAGATTTTAGTGTTATGTGAGCAAACGTTTTGACAAGCTACAATCAAGCTGCAAACGACTTGTTTCAGTTCAAAACATTTTCTTCAAATCAATTTTCATATATTAAAGGGAAATGACTAAATTGTTTGGCAGAATTGTTTCTTTTTTTACATTTAACAGAACACAGGAGATTCCCAGAGTTAATATAAAACACAGGAAGTGCATCTTTACATAGCAGTGCATGCAGGAAAACTATTTTATTGTCATTACTTCTATTACCCAACCTATAGATATTACATTTGTTTTTCACTACCATTAGCAGGGGATCTGAATAAGACCCCGTGCAATAAAATAAAATGTCTCAGTATTTTTTCTTTAATGTACTTTAGAAACAAGTTGATGCAAACCTTGTGCAGTGAGAGACCCTGAACAACCACTCCCTTAGAGCTGTCCTCTCTAACAGCAAGAGGTCCGGCATTAGCCAACAAGTCTCTGATCTGTTCATTATAAACCTGTAAATGAATCCAAAACAACTGTAAACTGACACAAAGGCATCAATCTCATTTTAAAAGTTGAGTAAGAGATGCAGATGTTAATAGAAATTTTATAAAATGTCCATTACAGTAGTAATAAGCATGAAATAGCAACAAGGGTGGCAATGATTAAACATTTTGAGTTATAAATATAAATGCTGATTTGAAATGGGAACCCTTTAATAAAGTATGGGGACTATTTACAAGTTCTATCCAACTACATATAAGTGATGTATAATGTATTATGTATAAAGTGCAAGAAAATTAACATTAGATCACTCACCTCGAGATATGAGAATGTAACTGCAAACTCTTTTTCCTCCTTGGCATCATCCATGCGCTTGAATAGATCTTTCATTGTGCGATACATGACCCCCGGGTTATCTTGTGAGCCCAACATGGTATGGGTCTTACCCGCTCCAGTAGCGCCATAAGCAAACACTGTAACACAGGAAGATTACTATAAAGGGAAGTGTATCAAATATTCCCAATTTTTAATGCAGCAATCAGTCTAATGTTGGGAAGTGTATCACAAGAGAAACTGCAAAACATAAGCTCCTGAGTACGTGTGTGCATGTGTTTGTCATGTTGTCAAAATATCTAACTTCTGGCAGGATTTGAATGAAACCCTCAAAAATCTATATTGGTTACACGACAATAACTGCAGGAAAACAACCTTCACATCAATGTGAGTAGAATAGAATAGAAACAGACTTTATTGTCCCATGGATGGGAAATTCCAGTGTATCAGTAGCAACAGCAGCAACAGATAAAAAGATTTCACACAAAAGTTAATAAATTGTTAATAAACAATACAATATATAAGAAATAAGATAAACAATATCAATAATAATGTTCAATATGTATTGGAACATTGAGAATGGCAGACTATTTACAGCACAGTATTACAGGAAGAGTGTGTGTTTCAGCAGAGGTCAGCATGTATTTAATTCTTATTGAGTTTGTTTGGTGCAGTGATGGTTGTAGAGTCTAACAGCTGCTGGGAGGAAGGACCTGCGGTAATGCTCCTTTGTGCATTTAGGATGCAGTAATCTGTCACTGAACGAGCTCTCCAGTTCAGCAACAGCTTCATGCATGGGGTGGGAGACGTTGTCCAGCAATGATGTTAGAAGACTTATGAAGACTTATGAAGAAGATGATGGAGATAGTCATATACTTCAGAAGGAACAAGCACACCTACACCCCCTGAACATAAGAGGATCTGAGGTGGAAGTGGTCTCCAGCTACAAGTACTTGGGTGTGCACCTGAACAACAACCTCAGCTGGAGCAACAACACCACCAGCCTGATGAAGAAAGATCATCAGAGACTACTTCCTCAGGTGGCTGAGACGAGCTGGTCTGGGAAGCTCAGTCCTCACCTCCTTCTACAGGTGTGCAGACTGAGGAACAGCTTCTACACTGAGGCCGTTAGACTCATGAATCTCTAACCAGGATAATCACTGTGAAGAATCACATCGAGTTGCTGCTGATCCGTTTCATGTTGCTGTGTTCATTCGTGCTAATCTGCTCACACAGACTCGTGCTGCTGTTCAGCGTATTGTTTTTGTGGTACTAGTGCTTACTGTATTTTTAATTAACGTTTTTTTGGTACACATCTTAGATCGTAATACTGTTTTTCTTTTACATTGTAATAATTTGTTGGAAGTAACTGGGGTACACAATTTCGTTCCACCACATGTACCACAAGTGGTGCAAATGACAAATAAAATCCTTGAATCTCCATCCATCCATCCATTTTCTTCCGCTTATCAGCGGTTGGGTCGCGGGGGTAGCAGCCTAAGTAGGGAGGCCCAGACTTCCCTTTCCCCAGACACTTGGGCCAGCTCCTCCGGGGGAATCCCAAGGCATTCCCAGGCCAGCCGAAAAACATAGTCCCTCCAGCGTGTCCTGGGTCTTCCTCTGGGTCTCCTCCCAGTGGGACGTGTCCGGAACACCTCACCAGGGAGGCGTCCAGGAGCCATCCTAAACAGAAGCCCGAGCCACCTCAACTGGCTCCTCTCGACATGGAGAAGCAGCGGCTCTACTCCGAGTCCCTCCCGGATGATCGAGCTTCTCACCCTATCTCTAAGGGAGAGCCCAGACACCCTGCGGAGTAGGAATGCGAGATATAAATGGTACACGGTAGAAACGATAGAAATTTAGCCTACAATAGAGATCTGACTTCTACCGGCTAACCGCAGTAATGCTGTGTCTGATGTAAAATCAGAGTTGTCAGATTTAATCGTTACTTTTGTTTAGTTGAAAACTGCAGAAGTGGTGTTCAAAGTAAAATCAGAGCTGTCAGATTTATTCGTTACTTTTTTTTTAGTTGAAAACTGTGTGCAAGTGGTGTTAAAGTCTTTTCTTCGAGGGCTAAGTAGCGAAGCTACAAACCAACTACGCCCGGCTTGCCGTAGTGTTGCCGTATTCGGATGCATGCGCAAAACACTGTTCTGTCGAAAGTTTTTTTCGGTCGAAAGTCAAAGTAAGCGTTGGTCAGCTTTAGAGAAACCTGCTCTCTGATAATAATGCTGTGTTGTGTGATTTTACTGCGAGACCCTCTGGTCAAAGCCATTTTGTGTCAACTCTCCTTAAAGCAGAAGGAGGCACCATCTAGAGGGCTGGAGGGTGAAGTGTTTCAGTGTAAAATGCTGCTCTGTTGCTGTTCATTTATTAAGTGAGAATACTGGAAACTGTTAAGACTTAACATACTCTTTTGTTTAAAACATATGGCTAAAACTACATTAGATATCTTTTGCACTGTTTTGCACTACAAGAAAGAAGCCCAATACTTGATTTGTTTATTATTTAAAAACTCTCTGGACCTAATAGTGGAATTTTCTTAATTCAAATGATGGCAAAAGGACACCATATGCTTTTTAAAATTCCTATTGCAAGTTTTATACCAAAAACATATTGCAAAATATATCGTTATCGCCACCCTTCACAGTACATATCGTGATATGAATTTAATGCCATGATGCACATTCCTACTGCAGAGAAAACTCATTTCGGCCGCTTGTATCCGAGATCTCGTTCTTTCCGTCACAACCCAAAGCTCATGACCATAGATGAGGGTAGGAACGTAGATCGATTGGAAAATTGAGAGCTTCGCCTTTTGATTCAGCTCTTGCTTCACCACGACAAACAGGTACAGCACCCGCTTCACTGCAGACGCTGCACCTATCTACCTATCGATCTCATGTTCCATTTTCCCATCATTCGTTAACAAGACCCCAAGATACTTTAACTCCTCCACTTGGGGCAGGACCTCCTCCCCGACCTGGAGAGGGCACTCTACCCTTTTCCGGCTCAAGACCATGGCCTCGGATTTGGAGGAACTGATCTTCATCCCGGCCGTGTCGCACTCGGCTGTGAACTGCTCCAGCGAAAGCTGTAGATCACAATCTAATGAAGCCAATAGGACCATATCATCTGCAAAAAGCAGAGACGCAATCCTAAGGCCACTAAAACGGATCCCCTCAACACTGGGGATGCACCGATCCACTTTTTTTTACTTCTGATCCAGATACCTAAATCTAAATATCATCCGATACCGATCCAGTTCCAGTATCATGATCATCATTGATTTTATATGAGGCTGTAATAATCTCCTCTCAAGTACATTTTGTACAAATATATGCATGCATGTCCAAAAAGGCAACTTGAGGTAAGTTTTATTAATGTTGGATAAGTTTTAAAGTTAGAATTAAATTTCATTCATTCAATGTTTTCTTTTTGATAATTTAGATTTATTTATTTTGTTTCATTTAAATGAATGAATAAATTAATTAAATTAAATGACATGTTAAATGGCTTCAAACATCTGCTAAGTTCATGGAATAAAACAACAGACATGTTCCTGTTTTTAGTATTTTACATCACTTTACAATGTAGCTGTTTATGTTTTTAATATACATAATATTCAAATCATATGTTTTTTATGATCGTCTACTACTGATAAATATCTCCTGGAGGGTAAAACTATATCTTGGCTGCAAGTATCAAGCTGAGAAATCATTCGTTTTCAACAACTGATAGTGGATGGTCATTAATTATGAATAAGTTTAGCAACTTCTCGGTAAACATTTGAGCTCCGTGGTTTCAGCGATGTCTTCTTCTTGTTCAATCTGAAGCAAGCAGCCTGATTTGGGGCAGCCGCGCTCAGGCTGTCCCTCCTCAAAGACGGGCAGACTGAGCGGGACAGATTGGACGTGGCTGGATGGGGTCGAGTCGCCTCTTTCGGTTTCACCAAAGAGTTGTGCCCTGCTGAAGCCACGGAGCTCGAATGTCCAACGTAAAACTAACTTTACAGCAGTTTAATGTGGTGCTATGGCTCTGCAGACATTGCAAGTTGATGTCTTGTTTTGTGGTGTTTCTAGTGTAAAATACTTCCACACAGCGGACATGTTTAGATGAAAAGTTGGTTAGCTGTTAGCCACAGTGCTGCTCACGCAGTCCACACGCTGTAGCTGGTTACAAACTACGAACTGGATTTCCTGAATGTAAGGCGGGTCTTATTACTCTGGGTTCATGAGACACGCCATCGTTCAGGAAATCCATGAGTTGAAACACACTCTACGGTCCCCCTTTTTGAATTGGGGGACCACCACCCCAGTCTGCCAATCCAGGGGAACTTCCCCTGATGTCCACGCAATATTGCAGAGTCGCGTAAGCCAACACAACCTTACAACATCCAGAGCCTTAAGGAACTCCGGGCGAATCTCATCCACCTCTGGGGCATTGTCACCGAGGAGCTTTTTAACCACCTTGGTGACCTCAGCATCAGAGATTGGAGGGCCCAATCCAGAGTCCCCTGGCTCCGCTTCCTCAGTGGAACACGTGCCGGATCTCTTTAATATACTGAGTTAAAGTTTAATACAGAAGTAGCTGAGATTTTCCTTTAATCATGTACTCAGAGGGCTAACACATCTCCCAATATTGCATGAGGATATACAGAACATAACTTACAAGATCTATTTCATATAGGCTTCGCCCTTTAAGGCTGTCGCTGATGGGTTTATCCCGATATGCGAAGCATTGCACTGAAAACACAGAGCGAATAGGATGGTTCCTCCGGGACAGGCGGCGCTCAGCTGCACCCCCCCACTGCTCATTCCCTCCTGGAGAGCGTAGTGTTGATGGAGGGGGGATGAGCGAATGCTCACCTCATCCCACCTCGTTTCGCATCGGAGATCACATCGCTCGCGGGCAGACGGCGCCCTCTGGGGTTGCCCGGCGTAACCCAGGAGGCGGCTGACATGAAGGGACCCTTTTTTACGTCCCACGCCTTTTCCCACCACTTCGGATGATTCGGCGGGAAGGTTGTTTTTTTTCTAGGTTCCATTCCAGCTCACCGTCTTGATCCATCTGGCCTCGTTTTCCCAACAGGACGTCCTACGGGCGAGGCCACAGCCGGTTTTCCTGGTAGGTTGGGGGG